TTGACATTTCATTTTCTTCAAGCGTTATGGTTACATGTAAAACCCATTTATATGGTACATCCTCGCTACCCTGGTCGTTCGACTTTGAAATGATGGACTAAGATAATGAGAGGTTGGACGGTGAGGCCGATGGACCCTCTCGACCGGCTGGGTGAACTCGAAAAAAACCCGGTCCCACTTGTTCCAGTTGCGCCCCACCCGAGTCAATGGCGTTGGTCTAAACGACACTTGGTACCGGCTGCTTTTCGAACGCCTATTTTCACAAAGCCCGGCTTTCTTGAGTTAAACCGTATTTCTGGGTTGGCTTTGGGACATCGTTACCTTGTTAACGCGTTAGCGACCAGTCGGCCATCCTGCGACCATATGATCCCTTTTTCCACAAAACCAATGAGCTCGTTCAACTCGGCCCTTGAGCCTTGGTACAATTCTGTCTGTCCCTTGGCCGCTTGTATGAATTAAATCTGTCCCTTTCACCAGCATCTCATAACTGCCTCGATGTCGGGTGATAATAATGGGGATTTAACTTACTACATCTTCCCTAAACGCTGCACCATCCAACTACCTGTCCTAATTATAGGGGAAAGAATGTGGACTTTAAGAGAGCCCTTGGTCAACCCAAGAATGCGGTTGACTCGTGAGATGAACAAAGTCAGGTGGAGATTGATATAAACGGCCAGTAGAGGGGAGGAGTAAAAAGTAGGAAAGATAATCTGAGACGAGCACTTGTACAATTTACCCACATGGCTATGAGTAGGCCTATGAGATGTATTCACCCTATTTCGCCTAAGGTGATGAAGGACTGGTAGTAGAATTTTCCCACAATGATATGAGTTGAGCTGACATTTTCCATTGAATTTCACATTGCCTTGCTTTCCCAAAAGTTGTTCTCATTCAGGGTGGACTGCAGTTTCGACCTCGCATCGGTCTTATCAACACCCTCAGCGGGAGTCGAACCACGACAGGCCTGTTGAGGCCATTGAATATCGCTTAGACTTGCTTCCGAAGAAGGTATCATCAACAAGGTTGGGATATAGCAGCTATTACTAAGCAGTCTAGAATGAGTAAACTTCTTATGCAAGGTCTTCCACTAGTTTTCCGTCTAAAAGTAGGTCTTCGAGACTACTAGCTTGACGAAATTGGATGAATAGATAGTATATATGTGGTATACTGGTAGTCTCTAAAACCGGCTTGTCAGCAAAAATAGTTCATTTTTCGTTTTATAAATCGGTTTTCGAGACCTTCAATAGATCTAATATAGGATCGACGTTCCATCTATAAAACGGAAACCAAGTAATTAAGATCGGAAATATGAAGACCGAAATGTTGTGGTCTTCTGTTTGTCCGCAATCTCCTTTAGCTTTATAGTGTTTGTTTGGTCTCGTTTTCACGACACTAGAAGACACGGTAACTACTAGAGGCGTGCGGTGATGCCACAACGGGTGAACAGAACAGTAGAAAATCGGTTGACTTTGATGAGCTGTGGCTCTGCGCTGAAGATGGTGCCTCTCACTGACGATCCTGGCGAAATATTTGGGAATGTTTCAAGTTAATGGTTCGAAGCTGGAAAGCACGAATACTATAGCAGAGGAGACTGGACATAGTGCGCTCCAAAAAGTCTTCCTGATGCTCCGACCAAGTTGGGGAAACGAGGTCAAACCAACGCTACAAAGTAATTTAGTTGGTTGTTATAGGATATACCACTTCGTCCTTCATCACCTTGACGATATATATATGTATATATGATCTACTGGCAATCTCGATAACCTACATATAAACGAAAAATGATTAATATAATCGATTGCAATAGCAAATACAACTTTACTTCCTCGACAATCCCACCACAGAAGGTGAGGCATAATTAGCTACTTGTGAGAAAATTTACTATGATTACCTCATCACATTAAGCAATCCAGGATGAATATAGTACCTGTGAAGTAGGCAGTTGACAAAATAGGGGATGATTTAAGAAATGAGAATAACCCGATTTCACTAAATGAGCCAATCCACATAAAAACTTAATCATTGTAGGACTCTAAAGGCGATTTAAGGATTTACAATAGAGTTTTTCCACAACCACATGATTAGAGCTCATAACATCTTAGAATTCAACTTGGCCTTGCTTCCAGGCTAGAGTGCCGTTACCACTTAGGCTGAGTCTCATCTACATTCTTAACTGGACTCGAGATTTGGACGGATAGCATGTCATCACTATATGGGATGTGATACCCTATTTCGTTTAAGGTGATGAAGGACTGATAGTTTAACTTTCCCACAATGATATGGGTAGAGTTGACGTTTCCATTGAATTTCACATAGCCTTGCTTTCCCAAAAGTTGTTCCGACCTCACATAGTTCTTATCAACGCCTCCAGCAGGAATCGAACCATGACAGTTCAGCGTGTAAACTCGACCCGTCAACCACTCGGCCACTGTGCCACGAATGACCTTGGGTCACAGGGCGGATGTGAATTTCAAGGAAGGT